CCTCGGTCTCCGGCCCCTCTCCCGCCCCCTCGCTCCCTCCGTCCCTCTCCTCCCTCTCTGCGCCTCTCTCCAGTCCCTCCGTCCCGCTCTCTCGGTTCTCGGCTGTCTCCACCTCGCCCTCCGTCCCTTTCCCTCTCTCCCTCTCCTGGGCTCCTCTATTTATTTCCCTCTGTGCTGGAACATATTGCAGGGGAGGAGAAGGCACCGCAGAGACCCCGTGGCCGCGCGGTTTAACGATTTCAAATGAGCCCGGCTGCTGACAGGCCCGCGTCAGGGCGCGATGACGGCTAAAATTACCCGGAATCAATATCCTTACCGGGTGTCCCGGGCTGATAAGCTCCGCCAAGACAATGTTGACTATTAAAGTCGACAGCTTGAGATATTACACTATTAGTTATGCTATTTTTAATAATCTATAATATTTGGGCGATAATTAATTAATTATACGGGTCAGATAATATCTAGGGCTGGAATGAGGTCCTCAGGACCCATTACCGCCCGTAATGAGAAAGTGGAATCTAATCTGGGCCAGGTGCTGCCTCCGTGGGTGCCGGGCCTGGGACGCAGCGCCCTCACCCTGGCCGCCCGCAGCAGAGGCCAGCGACTCCACAGTGCCACTGGGTGCCTGGCCTGTGCACCTGGAGAGCACCCCTGCCCACCCTGCGCCCTCTTCTCTGCACCTGAGCGGTCCCTGTGCCCCGGGCCCAGTCGTGCTTTCAGACACTGAAATGTCTTCCCCACACACAGAGACAATGGTCCCAGCTGTGGCCCCGGGCCCCGGGGTGGCACCACTCCCTCCCCTGCTCCTGTGTCCACGACATAGACTTTCAGCTGTGCTCTCTGCCTCAGACCTTTGCACCAGCTGCCACCCACTTTGCTGCTTCAATGTCACCTCTTCAGAGGCCTCTGACTCCGCTGCAAGCCCCTGCAGCTCCGACAGCACCTCTGGAGGACGCAACTGCTTCTGTGTTCCCGTGCTCCTGCCTGAAGTCGGAACGTGAGCAATGCCCAGGATGACCACACTCGGGTGGCAGCTCCAGGAAGCACTACTCCTCCCCTGCCAGTCCTGCTGCCCCGGAGCTGGCTAGAGGCTCTCAGGGGAGCAGAAGGGACCCAGGTCACCCACAGGGTGGCTTGGGCCTCTGCAGCGCCATCTCCTGGAGGCTGCAGACCCGACTCTGGCAACCTCCGAGCCAGGCCCCTCTCCTGGACACACTGCCTGCAGGTCAGGAGGGTCACCAGCCTGGCAGCCCCACCAGCTACATCGCCGACCTCAAATTAGGTGTCACTGACAGTGGTCCTGCCCCCAAAAAGCACTCTGTTGCGCTAACTCCTGGAAAGTTTTTTATATTCAATTTTGCAGTGTTGGGCCCTGCCAGAGCCAGGTAAGGGCTCTGCTGCTGAGCTGCACCCAGCAGAGTTCACTGCACACGTGCATGTGAGGTATGTGCAGACTCCCAGCTCTGGTCTCTGGTGGGTGTGTCTCCCCCGGGCCAGGCTCCGCAGTCACCAGAGCCCGTCCTGAGGGCTCTGTGCATGCAGCCTGTGCTCCTGTCCCCGCCCTGGCCCCAAGTGGTCCTGTGTGCAGGGGGCGCAGATACAGCCGCTCCCACCAGAAGCGTTTCTGCGTGCCTGGCTGAGAACACACAAGGCCACACCACTGTGGGTCTGGGTTGAGTCTGGAGGACAAAGGGCCAAGCTGGGGGACACCAGGGAAGTGCAGCCCATGCCTGCAAAAGGGACTTGGAAGTTTGCACAGCCTGCCACTGATTCAAAGCTAGACTGACTCCAAAGCACAATGTTTACTGAAATACAGTGCTGCCATTAAAAGTGCCAGCCAATTACCTTTTCCCCAGTTTGCAATGCAAAATTTAGTTGTTTTACTGATCATAAAAACGTGCAGCAAGGCTACATCTCCACCTCTGTGTCTTGTTTGGTGGGCTGTCACCAAGGTTTTGTTGCTGGGCTCAATAAGGGACACCCTCTCCAGGGTAGGCACCCCTCTTTCCCCAGCTGCTCTCCTGGGCTGTGTGCCATGGACGGAGGTCTGTGTACCCTGGGGTCCAAGGTGGGCACCCAGAGCACATCCTCCCCAGTGTGCCAAGGGTGCCTGGCAGAGCCCACTGGGGACAGGGACATCCTGCTGTCCCATGCACTCGGGCAACCGTTGGAACACGTGCTCGAGAAAAACACACTGGTGGGTGACCTGGGCAATGCTGCTGGCCCCGTGCCCGGTTCCCTCCAACCTGAAATGGTGGCCCTGTATCCATGGCCCTCTCGGCTGCCCAGTCTGGGGAGACCTTGCACCCCGGCTCCAAGGCATGCTCAGCTTAGTTATCACTCCTTCGTCCCGGACCCACCCTCTTGTGGACTGCTGTGGGCCAATCCAGCTTCCAGAGGACAGGAGAGATGGGGCTGGCAGGTGGTGGCTGCGAGCTCAGGAACAAAGGACCGGGGACAGGCACTTTCCCGGCTGGACCTGAACAGCCTTTTCTCTTCCAGTTGTTTTGTTGCGGTGAGTTGAAAACCCTATGAAACATGGCATTTCAAAC